TGAATGTCCGAATTCACACACACACTAAACACAGTTATGAACTAGGTTGACTATGGGTGCCTAAAGCGGCAAGTCTCGTTGAATTCATCCTGTTCGCAGCGCCAGATGTAACGAGACTTATCCTGCTCGCAGAGCCAAATGTAACGAGTCCCCGAGTCTATCCTGCCGACAACGCCAAATGTAACGAGTCTCTGGCTACCCTGCCGACAACGCCAAATGTGACCTTCCCGAGTCTAACCACTCATTCCACACAACATTGACCACAGCATAGATACTCGAAGATGCAGGTTCATTATTGATCCTTTTATTACATGAATCAAAGAATGCTTCACAATAATATAATGAATCAAGAGAGATGTTTCACAATAATAGTCTGAATCAACGGACCCCCAACAGTCCTCACTAGGCTTCATCTAACTGAATACACATGTCTAACGTCCTTCTTAACACAGTATAACCAACTTGATACTGCCACACAGACTCACTGAGAGAGAGAGACTGACGGACTGACTGACAGACCTTCTGAGACCGACTTTCTGAGAGACCGACTTTCTGAGAGACCTCGAGCTCAGCCGTCGCCTTCCTTATATCCCCTTCATAATCGTACTCATATTCGGTCCTATCATAATCGTAATTGTAATCGATTCTAATCGTTACATCAGACTGTTAATTACGCCGCTTCTGTCGTACAGTCCGATTTTAATAAGCCACCTGCATCCTGTCACATCAAAGTTGACAGACCGTCTTTCGTATCGCTTCCCGAGATATTACGCCTTGGCATCAGCCAACACCTGCACTGTGACGTCAGACTGTAACACGTTATGTCTCTTGGTAACTTCCCCTAGTTACATATATATATATATATATATATATATATATATATATATATATATATATATATATATATATATATATATATGTATATGTATATATATATATATACCGAGGGGTCTATGGGGGGGGGGGGTTATGACCCCCCATAACCCCCCCTGCCTACGCCACTGCATATAAGTATTCGCATAGATTTAGAGTAGCGTCCCTTTTGTTTACATGTTTTCACTACCCTTCAAACAAAAGTCTATTTTAGTTATATTGAGATTAAAGAATGTAAATAAACAGTATACACAATTCTGTAGAATAGGAACGATTGGGAGGGAAGTGACATTTAGCGCAGGAAATTTAGAGGTTAGGTAGGGTATAATAAATGGTGGGGTTAGGCAGTGGCGTAGCGAGGTCGGGTGTCACCCGGTGCGGCACTTAATGGTGTCACCCCCCAGAGGCATAGAGACCCTTCCCAGGGACAAACTTTCAAATTTTCGATTTGCACCCCCCCCCCCTCAAGTTTTCGATTTGCACCCCCCCCCCCCCCCCCTCAAACTTTCGATTTGCACCCCCCCTCGAGTTTTTCTCTATATATTTTGCTATTTTTTGCCTTGGTGTCACCCCCCTAAATGGTGTCACCCGGTGCGGTCCGCGCCCCCCGCCCCCCCTCGCTACGCCCCTGGGGTTAGGAAAGTTAAGGGTCCATTCTCTAATAGGCAGTCTATGTCTCTTTCGTACTTTCGTGTTGGTTTATTGTCGAACCTGTCCTCACCTCACATCACAACAGTTGGGTGACGCTTACCGTGTAATATTAAAATAAATAGCATGTAATTGAGTTAGTTCGAAGTGAGTTTTCATACAAGCCCAACGCACTAATTAAGGTTGTCGCAAAATGTAACATATATGTAACATATGTCAATGATGTCAATGAATTTTCATTAAAAAAAAGATGTCTAGTACAGTTTATGAAACTTACGAACTTCACCGATACTTTTTTGGTGGGTAGTTTGGTAAGTATGTAGGCGGCAGGTGGGTAGGTGGGTAGTAGGTAGGTAGGTAGGTGCGTCATGATGTGAAAAAATATTAAATACAAAATTGTTATTTTGGTGCGAATGCATGTTTGATGACGCGGATGAAAGAGAGTGAAGTTTTGCCATAGGAACGGGTTGTTATGGTATGCAAGCTAGGTAGTTCGGACTAGGGAGAATGTGAAAGATACTTCGTGTAATGTCGATAGTTTTATGTTTATACGAGAATAGTAGTTGAATAATTATTGACCAAGAAAATAATAGGCATTGTGTAAAGTGATTATCGCCTGTATCGTGGTGATGGGAATGCAGATGGTAGTTGTACGCTTTAAATGGTAGTAGATCACGTGATCAAACACGACACTCTCACAGAAGCCCTAACAGTCATGTATAAATGTGTCATCTAGTCCATATGGTCTTTGTGCTAAATTTCTCTTTTGCACATTTTTCGTTGTTTTTTCTGTTTGCGCTTTTTTCCGTTTGCGCTTTTTTCTGTGTGCGCTTTTTTCTGTTTGCGCTTTTTTACGTTTGCGCTTTTTTCTGTTTGCGCTTTTTTCTGTGTGCGCTTTTTTCTGTTTGCGCTTTTTTCCGTTTGCGCTTTTTTCTGTTTGCGCTTTTTTCCGTTTGCGCTTTTTTCCGTTTGCGCTTTTTTCCGTGTGCGCTTTTTTCTGTTTGCGCTTTTTTCCGTTTGCGCTTTTTTCTCTTTGCGCTTTTTTCCGTTTGCGCTTTTTTCTGTTTGCGCTTTTTTCTGTTTGCGCTTTTTTCTCTTTGCGCTTTTTTCTCTTTGCGCTTTTTTCTCTTTGCGCTTTTTTCCGTGTGCGCTTTTTTCTCTTTGCGCTTTTTTCCGTTTGCGCTTTTTTCTGTTTGCGCTTTTTTCTGTGTGCGCTTTTTTCTCTTTGCGCTTTTCGCCGTTTGCGCTTTTTTCTCTTTGCGCTTTTTTCTGTGTGCGCTTTTTTCTCTTTGCGCTTTTTTCCGTGTGCGCTTTTTTCCGTTGCGCTTTTTGTTTTGCGCTTTTTTCCGTTGCGCTTTTTTCCTTTGCGGTTCTTTCCGGCCACCATCTCGAGTTGCTGTACCCTGTAGTGTTATTCTAATATATAAAAGCCAATGTACGCACTTCTCTTTTTACTTTCTCATATATACGAAGTATAGAGAAAGTCTTGTAACCGTGCAAAATAAAAAAAATCGAGATTTTTACAAATCTCGACGTTTTACGCCTCACTGATACGGAAGAACATAATTTTGCAATCTTGTCCGTATGTCTGTGTGTCTGTGTGTGTGTGTGTGTGTGTGTGTGTCTGTCTGTCTGTGTGTAAACACCATAACTTGAGTACCGTTATAGCTAGGTTGATGAAATTTCATATATAAGTATTTTCTCAAAATCGTAGATTTTGGTCAACTTTTGAGCGATTTCCGATAACCGGAAGTGGTACTTTTTCTACTTTGAATTTTTCAAAAGCCTATAACTTTATTACTATTTCAGATAGATAAATGCAATTTCACATGTAAGTAAAAGATTTAATTCTCTACCTTCGATATATGGAGAACTTCAAGATATGGACTTTTGTTGAAAATAATATGGTGGAAGTTTTACATGTATAAACTAAGTTTTATTTAAAGAAATAAATATTAAGCAGTATTCCAATATAGAAACATATTTTTTGTTATTTAACCGAAAATTGTTAATGGTTGTGACCAGAAAGCAAAAAAAAAAAAAAACTAAGAAAAAAGTACGGCATCGTATGCCACAAGATATTTTCTTCATCCGCCATTTGAGAATACCTGCAGCGATAGCCAAACACATGTGTCTTATCATATTTACTTTGATAATGATTATATAAATAATCAATAAATACGGCTTTATGTTACATTACCATATTTAATTTGATAAGGGTTACATTAAAAACCAATAAATACAGCTGTATGTTAGATTACCGTATTTAGTTTGAATAATATTAAAAGGCTTACCTACAAGCATTGTCTTAAAAAACAAACATTTCGCAATTTTACGTTTTTTATAGCGTATATCGAAGTCGTAATCATGAGGCATGACTTGTGGAGACATGGACGTTTGCGTCGTGAAATTAGAGACATTTGTGTTTTGATGGGAGCAGAAAGGTTGGTTATGTGATACAGTGTGTTAGAGGTTGGTTATGTGATACAATTTGTGAGAGGTTGGTTATGTGATGCATATATATATATATATATATATATATATATATATATATATATATATATAAACTACATTGCAAATGTCATTATATTATATAATGATTAGTTAGTGGGTTTGCCCGAACCAACCCTTCTAAAACATGTAATGGTTAAGGCAGACCAGAGTATCTGCCAGGAATCTCTTAGTAGGGGGGGGGCTTCCATCCCCCTGAAGAAATTTTACCCTTCCCCCTCCGAACGAAATGGAATTCATATAGAAAATATATAGACTCTAGCCTTCTTTTAACAGTGTCCGCCCGGGGGAAAAACTCTAAAAGAAACACAGGGCAGTCTTGTTAGAAGCATTTGCCCCACGTTTTTGTCATAACTGGTATAGTTAATGATTTGTTCTTTCCAGACCCACACACTAGTAGCGCTCTTGTGTTAAGTTTAACGTTCGATTCTTTTGTATATGTACCTATATTTTGTATTTGTACCTATAGTTTGTATATGTGCCCATATTTTGTATATACACCTATAATTTGTATATGTACCTATATTTTGTATAAGTAGCCCCCCCCCTACGTATATTTCGTTTATGTACCTATATTTTGTATATGTACCTATTGTTTGTATATGTACCTATATTTTGTATATGTAACTATATGTTGTATATGTACCTATATTTTGTATATGTACGCATATTTTGTATATGTACGTATATTTGGTTTATGTCACAATATTTTGTATATGTACCTATATTTTGTATGTGTACCTAATTTTGTATAAGTAGCTATTAACGATGGACGGTAAATGCGTTTCACATGTGTAGCACGCATGTAACACAATTTATGTTTAGCGACTCGATTCTAAATCATGTTGATTTACTGCGTTGTGATATTAACGAGATTTATAAGAACTTTTCGTTATTAATAAAAATTAACTAGTATAAATAAATATAAAAAAAACACAACCAGGCACAATAATTTCAGATTACTTTATTTTTAACAAAAACACTGTACATAAGAAGCGTACTGTTGTAATCCTAGTTGTCTCTGTTAAATTGGCTATTCAGGTCTTTGTTTTTATTTGATTTGTGAGTCTATTTCAATCATGGAGGCAGGGTCCGTTTCGACAACTCATTTGAGGGGTCTATTTCAACCTTGCTGGTTGTTTCTGCTGAAGGGGCGTCTCGGGGATGTTTCTCAACATAATGAGGGGAGTCATTCTGTCAAAATATAGATTCATACAATTTTAAATTAAATTCAATATCAAATTTTAGTGATCATTAAAGTAAATTTAAACAAAGAAAACCTTATTATCTAGTCTTGACGTTACCACATGCATATACTTGTTATATTTTTGTTTAGTTATTTTTCTGCGTAAAGAACATGGAGTAGACCTATAGCTTGTGTCATAAGTTTAAAAAATAAACCGGGAGTTATCTCCCCTAAACTTTCTCGAATATTCTTACATGAAACAACAGGGGATGGCAACTCGGGATATAGACATGATTTTTAATCCTTTTTAAATACTTACACTTTTTTTAAAAATAGAATAAAATCTCGTAGAAAAAAGAATTGCACACCAAGTGAACGCCAAATAAAATGTGCATAATAGTGGGGAACATTATTAGTACTTTATAAATTCACATGCGTTTTTTGAGAAAACGGAAATAGTGAAAATTACTACTTCCGGTCGACATAAATTACTTAAAATTTAAAAGAGGGCAGAAAATTCTTTTTTTTTACTCACACATGAAATTTCATTTTTCTATCTGAAAAAGTACTCAAGTTATAGGCTTTTGAAAATTCAAAGAAAATAAAGCTCAAATTCCTATTATCGAAAATCGTTCAAAAGTTGATACGTATCTACGATTTCGATATAGTACTTATATATGAAATTTCATCAACCTAGCTGTAACGGTACTCAAGTTATCGTGTTTACATACACACACATCCACACAAACACACACACACACATACGGACAAGATTACAACACTATGTTTTTCCGACTCAGAGAGCTGTAAAACGTCGAGGTTAGCAAAAATCTCGTTTTTTTGCATGATTACAAGACTTTCTCTATATTTCGAATATAAAGTAAAATAGTGCAGTTGTCAATGTGATTGCAATGCTACTTACATCTTGTTTGTCCGTATTAACGGCAGTAGACACGGCGCACAAAAGGCCGACACAGACGAAGAAAACAAAAGGGCTCATGTTTATCTCAGTTGAACTGGAAATAAAATGCATTTTTGAATTTAAACATCATTTTAAAATAAAACAATTTACACACACACATTCTTAGACACAGACATACAGACAATGACTCGCACGCACACACACACACACAGACACACACACACACACACACACACACATATATATATATATATATATATATATATATATATATATATATATATATATATAATTGAATTTGGTCATGTAATTTACCAGAATTATTTTTCTCGTTTAACAAAACGCAGAATAGAATGTCCTATGTTAAACAATATCAAACCCTCATCTTATTTATAGCACATATGGCCATTTAAAAAACCTTTGAAAATATGTTTTAATCAATATGGAAAACAAACTCTTAAGGTTCTCAAAATACGTTGGAACAATTTTATTATTGTGTCCGCAAAATATTTTCGCAGGGTATCACATCAGAATCTTCAGCGATATATGGAGAACTTGATACGGGCTTTTGTTAAAAATAATATGGTAGATGTTTTAAATGTATAACCAACACTTTATTTAAAGAAGAAAAATAAAAAATAAAGACATATTCGAATGTAGAAAAACAGTTTTAATTATGCAACAGTAACAGTGTTTATAGTTGTGGAAAAGAACTTATGAAACAATGGCGTGACTAATGTTTGTACATCAACTAATGACGTCATCTGCCGAGTTAAAAATATAAAAAAAAATTAACTATTTCATTCAAATTTGATTTAGATTTACGTACGCTATGAAATGTATACAATACAACTTTTCCGACCTAAACTTATAAAATTTATTTTATCTATTTGGATTCTAGATCTATCTCTAGATCTAGACTATATCTAAATCTACACAAAAACTAGAGGTTGACGCTAAAACGCTAAGATCTAGATTTAGACTCTTACTACTCTAGAATCTATACAAACATAAATTTTTATATTAAACTATTTCAGGCCTTTACCAATTATTTTATAGACATCTTTGTTTGTTTAACTATGGAGCTGGCTAATTTGGGATGAAAAAAAATAATTTGAAAGAATAGGCATATGCGCGTAAGTAAGTTTTAAAAATACGTCTTTCATTCTCCACATTTTTTAAGGTGACTAAATCGCTCAGATGATAGGATGTGCGGGATCGAGACACAATAACTCAAACTTATTTTTTTATTTTTTTTTTGTATGTGAATCTTACGGTTTAGACAAGGGGTCTCCAAACTTTTCAGCCCGAGGGCCGCATTAACTATCAAATATCAGTTCGGGGGCCAGAGTTTCTTCCATGCATCTCTTTTGGGTAACGGTATCCCCGTACCCCCCCCCCCCCAACGAAATGTAATTTATATAGAAATATATACATATTTTAAATGCACCCCCTACCCTGGAGAAAAAGTCTGAAAGAAACATTGTCGGGGGCCAACAACACACTCGAGGTCCAAGTATGTTCTCCTTGGGCAAACATTAAAACACACCCGCCATTTTTTGAACTTGTCTCTAATGAGGTCATTTGCTTGCTATTCAATTACCTCCATCTGCAATTCATCTTGGCAACTGGTTACATTTGCTTCAAATGGGGTTTGAAACAGTCTCACTTCTGCCTTTGAATCCTAGTCAGAAAACCGCTACTGAAACTGCACCTGGAGGTCTTGTTAGCAGTTTCCACTACTTGAGTCACAATTTTTTCATCCATGTCAGCAACACGGAGGGCAACGGTATTAGCACCCAAAGCTTCATATTCAAATTGTTTTGTATTTTCTGGGCAATTTCTAACAAACATTTTTTTCCGTGAACAAAAAGATCTCCGCGGGCCGGATAAGGGGACCTCGCGGGCCGCATTCGGCCCGCGGGCCGTAGTTTGGAGACCCCTGGTTTAGACTATAAAGAAAGGAATTACTTCATTCAGATTTGATTTAGATCTAGATCTATAAATCTACTCATCAAGACGTACGCTATGAAATATGTACAATTTTATCGGTCAAACTAATACAAATTACTTAAAAACAACATAATGACCATTGAATAGCCAGATATTTAACGGAAGCATTTAAGTCACTTAATCAGTGTTTGCCTGTGTTATGTTAAATATGTCGGATTTTTTACTAATTAGTTATTTCTTTGCTTTGTCAGTAATATCGTTTAGCGTGTAGTAAAGCACAATGCGTTTCGACCAATAACTATTTCATCAATTATTTTTCTCAAACAAGTACAACATTTTAAAATATATAGGCCTATAATTCACGTGAAACGGGTATCGATGGCTAGTTCTATTAAAAAAAGGTTTAAGTAATTAAAAATGGATTACAAATATTGTCCATGTCCTGAGTTGCCATCCCCCTTAGTGTTATATTAGAATATTCGAGAAAGTTTAGGGGAGATTACTCCCGGTTTATTTAAATCAGGAAATTTAAATTTCACGTTTCAGATTTAGAATGAAAGATCTTAAAATATCAAATTTGATAAGTTAAAGCTTAAGTTTCAGATTTAGACAAATAAAGTTTTTAAATCGCGAAATAAATATTGCTTTTGTAATTAAAAATTAAAATGTTTGTTTTTGTTATTTTACTTTATGTATTTATTTTTGGCTTCGCGTGCTGAAAAAATATTGTTTACTTTTGTTATTTCTAGTTTTTAAACCCAAAAAAATGAAAATGAAAAAGCAACATCAAATTCTAAATATATTTCTCTTTTATCTTTCTCTGCCACCCGATTGCCTAAATCCTAAAATCAAACACTTTAAATTGATATTTCGCATTTTAACTAAACCAACTTCTTCAAAGCCTTTCTAATCTTAAGTAACATCAATTGCCCATGTCATTAAAAGCAAATAAAAACACATCTCGTCAAAAGCCCATTTGATTAAAGCCTGTTTCATCGAAAGCTAATTTCAAATCCCATCTTGTTAAAAGTTATCAAAAGTTAACTTCAAAAGCTCACATTGTGAAAGCCATTATATCAAAGGCTAACCCCAAAAGCCTATCTTGTTAAAAGCCCGTTTTATCAAAAGGTATATTTAAAAGCCCACATCGGGAAAAGGAAACTTCAAAAGCCCATCTTGCAAAAACCCCATTTCATCAAAAGATGGCTTTAAAAGGCCATCTTTACACCAACGTACTACTGCAGTAAATCTTACTTCTTAAGTCTAGCCCAAACACTGAAAAATAACTCTACTTTTAAACGTCTAAGAGCGATAAACTAAAATCCGAACCTTTATTTCATAATAAACCCCTAACAAAACCCCAAAAATCCGTAACAAACCTGCAACGTGAAATAAATGCAGTCACTAATTCCCCGGCTAATCCAAAGCCCCTGGTGCATGTCGCTATGTAAAGTTTCCAATACTCAAATTGCACCCGATTAGTCCTATAGCCTCCACGGACGCTAATTTGCTCTGTGCAGACAACCGTTAGGCCAAGTCGTTATCATGTAGCACAGCTAAATAAAAGCTGATGCTAAATCTGGATAATCGTGTTGTACGTGGGCCATTTAGTCCCGTCTGTTGCGCTACTTCCCGGGTTATTTAATACTAGCCGACCCGCGGCGTATCACACGCCGCTATTTAGTTTTATTTTCTACTTTTCAGTAATTCATAATTTGTGAATTCGACAGTACCAATGCTGCCAATGAAAAATAAATTGCTTTAAAGCAATAAAACCCTCCTTTCCCCCCCCTCCCCCAACCCGTGAAAGCAGCCTCCTCTTAGTTACCCGGCCCCCCTAAGTTTAAAATAGTTTCAAACTAAATTATCTGCCCCTAATAGCCGTCACCAAACCCGTCTCCACGATTGTAAACATTTAGCGTGAACCACAGCTCACCAGACCATGTGGGGTGAGGGTGGTGGCGATATGCCTAGAGAGGAAGAGAGGGGACTGCTAGGCGCGCTTACAGCTTGTTTTCTAACGTCTCCAAGAAGAGAATCTATCTATATATATAATTATCTTCTGGGAGACGCTAGAAAACAAGCTGTAAACGCGCTCCCTACCACGCCCACCCCTACATGGTCTTAGTGAGCTGTGTTCACTCGAAATGTTTACAAGCAGAGCCAACGATTTTAAACGTAGGGGGGGGGAGGAAGGGGGGGGGGTATGGTCCTTAACGTGCTACTTATAGTGTTTTAAATAAATATTTTCAGTTGCAGCGTTGGTACCGTCGAATTCACAAATTATGAATTACTGAAAAGTAGAAAAACCAACAACTAAAGTGCGGCGTATGATATGCCGCGGGCTGGCTCGTTATATATATAGATGTATTATTTAAATATATTAATAAATGCATATGACATGTCTCTCTCGCAGATGTTATAACAAACTGTAAGTGGGTGTGAAGATTTGGACTTCTGTTTGTCAAATAAATGAAAGGGTCTTCAGTGATTAACCCTACGAATAGACCAGTTCTAATATTACACATATTGCACATGACTCAATTATTACACATATTACAATGACTTCAATATTACACATATTGCAATGACTCTAATATTACACATATTACAATGACTTCAATATTACACATATTGCAATGACTCTAATATTACAATATTACGATGACTCTAATATTACACATATTGCAATGACTCTAATACTAAACCTATTGAAATGACTCTAATACTACACATAATGCAATGACTCTACTATTACACATATTGCGATGACAAGCAGTGTCTATTTACCAGTTAAGCTATAACGTAGGCTAAAGCAGTCGTCAAATTAATAGAGATTAATAGCGAGTGGCAGCTGGTCCTAGGGTGTTACAAAAACGTGTCTGTTAGTCTGTCCTGTTTTACTTTCTCGTATATACGAAGTATAGAGAAAGTCTTGTAATCGTGCAAAAAAAAAAAATCGAGATTTTTACAAATCTCGACGTGTTACATCTTACTGATACGGAAAAACATAATTTTGCAATCTTGTCCTTATGTCTGTGTGTCTGTCTGTGTGTGTGTGTGTGTAAACACGATTACTTTAGTACCGTTACAGCTAGGTTGATGAAATTTAATATATAAGTATTTTATCAAAAACGTAGATCCGTATCATTTTTTGAGCGTTTTCCGATAACCGGAAGTGGTACTTTTCCTAATTTGAAATTTTCAAAAGCCTATAACTTGAGTACTATTTCAGATAGATAAACGAAATTTCACATGTAAGTAAAAAATCTAATTCTCTACCTTCTGTTAAAGTTTGAGTAATTTACGCTACTTCCGATTTCTCAAAAAACTAATGTAAATTTTTAAAGTACTAATAACATTGCGCACTATTATGCACTTTTTTATTTAGCGTTCACTTGGTGTACAATTCTTTT